CACAGAACTGCAGCACATCGTACTCCATGATGCAGAACACCACGATGCCAGGCTGGTCGCAGGCATGGTAAAACTGGAGTGCGGGAAAAAGGGGGTGAGAGCTGCCCCCTCATGGCCATGGCCCCTCGCCTGTCCCCCCATCCACCCCCAACCCCGCACTGACGGTGGAGAAGAACATGGTGAAGATGTAGACGGCGGCGTGGCTACGGACAGCGATGGCCACGGGAGGCACAAACATGACGTTGCTGAGGCACAACAGCAGCGTGGAGAGAAGCTGGAAGCCGTAGGAGAAAGCCTCGGCGTTGTCTGTGCAGCCCCAGCCGTTCCAGCCTGCAGCCAGGGAGAGCCACTGTCACCCTTGCAGCACCCACAGGCACCGGGGAGGGAGCAGGGAAGCCCCTTTCCAGCACCATGCAGAGAGCTGGTGTGGGAGAAATAATGGGGTGCACAACCCCTAGGGAGGCAGGGGGGATGCCAGGGAGGTCCCCAGGTGCAGTGGGCACCGTGGGCACCTGGGGAAGCTCTCACCTGCTTTGCACTCGCAGGCGGCATACAGGTAGTTGTTGGTGCGCAGCAGCTTGCACTGGCCGTAGATGCCACAGTCGTTGATGCAGGGTGAGAGATAGGCACGCAGGTACACCTCAGCCGTCACGTTGGTGCAAGGCTCGAACCTGCAGTGTGGGAGAAGGGGGTCAGTGCTTGCCCTGCACCCCTTGAGCAGCTCTCACCTGCTTTGCACTCGCAGGCGGCATACAGGTAGTTGTTGGTGCGCAGCAGCTTGCACTGGCCGTAGATGCCACAGTCGTTGATGCAGGGTGAGAGATAGGCACGCAGGTACACCTCAGCCGTCACGTTGGTGCAAGGCTCGAACCTGCAGTGTGGGAGAAGGGGGTCAGTGCTTGCCCTGCACCCCTTGAGCAGCCCCTGCCTCCACCAGAGGCACCCATCGCCCCCAAACTCGGCAGGCGACAGGAGACCCAGGGACTGGGCGAGGGTGGAAATGAGCTGCTTTGGTGCTACGTATGGCAGCTCAAAGCAGGTCCCCAAGGATCTTTGCACTGCAATCATCTGTGCCAGGCTGAGTGAGCAGGAGGAACGTGGTCTGCACTCAGACCCACTTTGCCTGTAGCAACACACTCAGCTGGCTCCTATTTTGTGTGGATTTTGCTGTGAAAACACCATGCCCTGCAATGCCTGCGTGTGACCATACTGGGGAAGGACCGACCGCAACTGGCAACTCAGCGAGAACTACAAACTCAGCGGAGGGGTCAGAGCAGGCACAGAACCCCTGCTGCCCCACGCCTCCCATGCGCTGGGCTCTGGGCACACCCAGCACCTCGGCAGCTTCAGTGTGCAGGAGCACAGACAGCCCCACGTCCCACCAGCTGCTGCCTGTGCACACGCAGGCACCCCAGCGTGCACAAACACGCACCTGGCAACATCCGCACACACGCACGAGGCACGTCCACGCGCGTGTGTGCCGTCCCTGTGTGTGCTCACACAGCCAAATCCGGGCAGACGTGCTCGCAGAACGCACGCAACCCCGTCTGCTTGCACAAACCTGAACGCGCTCGCGGAGCTGCCTGCACGTGAGCACCCAAACGTGCACGCAGTGCTGTCTGCATGCACGCACCAAACATGCATGCAGCTCCATCCGCATGCCTGCATGCACCAAACACCCAGCGCCGTCTGCGTGCATGCACCGAGCGTGCGCACTGCACCGTCCGCGCAGCACAGAGCCCCACACGGACTCTCACATGTGCACAGACACACGCACACAACAGGCCCTCTCCCCCGCAGGGCTCTCAGGCAGACACACAGGCCAGGAGCAGAGCCGCAGACACAGCACCGGTCCCTGGAGATGCTGAGCAGAGCAGGGGCACAGCAGCCCAACCAGAGCCACCCCCTCACATGCACAGCCAAGCCCTGTCCTCACAGTGACAGCCCAGCCCCCTCCTGCACACGGGTACAGATGGGCACTGCCACGGAGACGGTTGGGTACCAACCGACATGGCATCCACGAGCTGCCAGGTGCTTCCTAACTGAGAGATGGAGGGAAGAGCCATGGGGATCCGCAGACAGTCAGGCAGGCGCAAGGAAGAGCCATCCGTGCCCATGCAGTCACAGGGGGATGCGCGGCCCGCGGAGCCACATGCACACACGTGAGCAGTGATACACAGCGCAGGGGTCAGGCAGACCCACGGACCCACACGGATGCAGGTCGTGGTGGGGACATCCCCTCTGGGCGCACAGGGAGGGGACGTGCCAGGGCTCTTACCCGTGCTCCGTGGCACAGAGTGAGCGCAGGCTTAGGTACCAGCTGCCCGTCTGGGGGTATGGGATCCGCAGGCGGCTGAGGCTGGCCGTGGCGTTGACAGAGAGCAGGAAGCCTGCCAGAGATTCTGTGGGAAGGGAGAGCTCCAGGTGAGCAGGGCAGCAGGCAGCCCCTTCTCCGGGGCAGAGCTTTGACAGAGCACCCTGGGCCAGGCTCCAGGGTCAGATGCCACCCTGGTCTCTGCCGTGTCCCACCCAGCCTCTTGTCAGACACATGGGGGTTGTGACCCCCACAGCCACAGCAGGACGGACACGCACAGCCCAGCCTACCTGTCTCGCAGGTGACAGATGAGTTGTCGCCGGACGTCAGCGGGACTTCATGGTTCAGACACCCGAACACTGTCACGTTCTCGCCACACAGGGAGCTCTGACGGCAGAGGAGGAGACAGCCCTAAACCAGTGCCGGGGATGTCCCTTGCTCTGACAGCTCCCAGATCACAGCACACCACCTAGCAGTGCCCTATCCCACTGTCCATCACACAAGAACATCTCAAATCCAGGCCACGATCCTGCCCTTAGAGCACCCTAATCTGTGTTCCATCACCTCCGAACACCCCAAATCCAGGCCAGCATCCTGCCCTCTGAGTACCCTAATCTGTGCTCCATCCCCCAAAACCTCCCAAACCATGACCTATGACCCAAGAGCACCCCAAATCCTCTCCCTCACCCGGCTGAAGCACCAACATCACCCATGTCCCAGCCCATCCTCCCCAGGCTGCCCTTCCCCATCTGGAGCACAGCCCGGCCACCTCACCACATTCAGCCGCAGCTCCAGGTTGAGCACCCCACCACTGTCCAGCACTGGTAGGAGGTTGATGACAAAGACAGCAGGGCGGTCAGGCGGCACCGACACGTTGGGCCCAAAGAAGATGTAGAAGTGGACGGAGAAGGTGTCCAGCTCGTTGCGCAG